TCTTGGGCACGCACGCACACGCACCCAGCGTGAGTTTTAAGCCACCGGGCCCGGGACACAAACCGCGGTCAACTACGTGGGAGTCCAGCGACATAGCCATTATGCTAAGTGCTAGTCCCCACAGTTCTGTTCTAATTCGACCTTCTTATAAAGACTTCTTTTTTTTGTTTTGTTTTGTTTTGTTTTGTTTTATTATCATCATAATCTTCTTTATATTACATTGGATTACATATAACTTTACATTGACTTCCATTGCTTTTTCAAAAGGGAATGCCATGCATGCCAGTCAATACAGAGGCATCGATCTCCCTGCTTTATCATTCAAAGTCTTTTCCATGCATTTCCCAATAATTATTATTATTATAATTTTTTAAAACAGTCAATCACTATTTCTCATTTTGCTTGTTAAAAGACTTCACCCATCATGAAATACTTCCCAGACCAGTCCAGTTGAGAATACTATACACGTCATCTTCAACAGATAATAAACCATATCTGTTTCTCACTAACATCCCCTCTATTGTTCACTTTCTATCTTTCTCTATCCTCTTCTCTTTTTTTTTTTATAGTTTATTTTTTATTATAATTTTTTTTTCCCATCGCAACACACAAATGAATTTTCCATCCAATATATACTGTGCGTTGGCTCAATCAAGCACGTCAACATATATGTTCTCAGCAAATAATTTCCCAATTCTTGTGTCCTGCATACCTTGCCTTTTGTTTTACCATCCTAGATTCCCCATCCCCCTCCCTCTGTTATGACCCATCCTCCTCCCACATTGTCCCTGTCATCCCCGATTGCCCTCCGTGCCTCACCCCTCCCCAAATGATCTGTCAGTGATCTTAATTAGTCTAAGTCTCTCCAATAGTTATCACAGCTGACACATGCCTCTACATGAACTCAAGTCTGACTTTAGGCCTAAACCCCATTGGGTAAAAAGAGCATACTATAAAGTAGAACCCAACTGGGCCCATACCGCTCACTGCAGCCATCAAATATCCAATTTTTTTTTTTAAATGGTACGAATAGTTTAACCGTTTTTTTTTGTTTGTTTTTTGTTTTCGTTCTTTTTTTTTTTCCCTAACATTCATTCCCTGAGCATCATCACAGCGTACTAAATGTAATCTCCCATCTAGAATAAACTGCACAGTGACCCAATCAAGCATGTTATCATCAATAATATTCCACTTCTACTTTCTTGCTTATGCACATATATGTTTTTTTTCCTCTTCCTCTTTTTTTTTATTTTTTTTTATTTTTCCTATGTTTGTCCCTCTGCCCTGTCTCACTCTCCCATTACAATATCCCTGCTATATACAGTTGTCTTCCAGAAGAGTTACTGAAAAAGTGATACATACAAGTAAAGGGAGAGAGGCCACAAGTTCCAACCATCAGCTCATAAAGTTTTTGGTAATAGGGAGCATAAACTCCACTCAGGGTTGGATAAGGAAGGGTCTCCGGCAGATCCACAAGTGTAGGTGAGTCTCCAAGGAATGCAGTTTCAGGAAAGCAGTTCTGGTACACAGGGATAATTATCAGCTGATGCGGCACAGCAGTCATCTTGTAGTTACCAGGAATGGCAGTGGGGGGGCGGCCGGCCAGGCCGATCCAGCGCGCGGCTTCGCTCCTTATAAAGACTTCTACCCCTCCCACAGGTTTTTCCCTCTGTCTCTGAACACCTCTCCTGAATGCAGTTCGGAATATCTGCATAACAAAGGAGTAATGCCAACCCCTGTGTCCCGGCCTATAAACAAAAGGAGGAAACAGTCTTCCTTTTCCTCCGGGCCCAGATCTCATCCTACTCTCAACTGTTAACCTCACTCCCCCTTAGTAATGCTTCCCACGGGCCAGCCCCTGTAGTACGCTGACCTCAATTTATGCTCCCCTGCTTAAGTGAGTGACTTCCCTTTGTGTGTGTGAAATGTGCTTCGGGCACGGGCTTGTGGGACAGACACACAGAGAGAGGGAAGGTAAGAAACCACCCTCCAGGCAGGATGGCCTCATCCCAAGCCCTCCATTCTCTTCTCGGGACTTTGGGCACCAATGCATGTGCCCAGCATGTTTGTCAGGCCGCTCAGTTCAGGACTTGAGCTTTGCTATCAGCCACGTGGGACCCAGCTGCCTCAACCGCCATGGCCTCGTGCTTTCCCTTCTTTGTAAACGAGCTGAAAATCCATTTCCTTTGGGATAACACAACCTGCTATGTTTTATAAATACCATGCTAGGGACCAGCAGTTGGCATAATGGCTATGTTGCTGGACTCCCATGTAGTCTACCACAGTTCACGTCCTGGACCCGGTGGCTTGAAACTCACGCCGGGTGCATGTGTGTGCGTGCCCAAGATCCCGAGAGGAGAATGGAGGAGAAGGGATTGTGGCATGGCCATCCCCCCTGGGAGGTGATTTCTCGCTTTCTGTCTCTCTGTCTCTCTCTGTCTGGCGAGCGCACGCGCCCTATAGCAAAAACACTCCAAAAAATAAATAAATAAATAAATACCACGCTAGTTTATTCAAAGAGTAATTCAATTTATTGTAAACATTTAAGGTAAACTTAATAGTACCTATGGCTTCATATATATGATCTGAGAATTTTTTGTTTCTGTAAGGAAAAAAGATCAGGAGCTAGCCCCATGGCCTGGCAATTACAGGAATCAGATTCCATGTGGCTGACTACAGGGTTTGAATTCCAGCCCCGTCTTGAAAACCAGGCACATGTGTATGCAACCGCCAAGGATGGAAAGAGAGAGGAGAAGGGATTGAGGCCAGACCACACTGCATTGGGCAGTGCTTTCTTCCTCCCCCTCTCCCTCTCTGTTTCTCTCCGGCAAGCACACGTGCCCTCTGGCAAATAAAGATTTTAAAAAGGAAGAATGACCACACAGTGCAGAAGATGCTTGGACGACCTCTCCTATCTCCCCTTCAGGAACAGGGCATTCATTCTCCCAACTGCCAGGTGTGCGAGCTCCTGGTGCTTACAGCAGGCTGAGTCCCTTCCTAGGAACTGACCTCAATTTAAGAGATTTGCCTTGTGGTACAAGTAGATGGCGTAATGCCTATGTCGCTGGACTCCCATATAGTCGACCTCAGTTCGAGTCACGGACCAGGTGGCTTAAACTCATGCCAAGCACATGTGCGTGTGTGCCCCAAGATCCCGAGAGGAGAATGGAGGAGAAGGGATTGCAGTGTGGCCATCCCCTCTGGGAGGTGATTTCTCACTTTCTGTCTCTGTCTTCCTGGAGAACGCACCTGCCCTATAACAAAAAACTCTCCAAAAATTTTTTTGCTTTGCTCAAGGTTGGATGCCCTCCCAGGGAATGCTAACTTCTAATGCCTGATCTGTGCAGGGAGGCAAAGGCCCAGCTCGCAGGTCTCAGTGTAGCACAACGCAGAAGAACCACCCCAGACCCAGTCTCCCGCAGTCTGTGGCGGCCTCTGCCGCAACTGCACAGACATCCACCTTTCCCACCCAGTGCTGCTTCTCGCCCTCTTCCCAGTGTTCTTCCTGAGGGCACACCCAGATAGACCCGCAGCCTGTGAATCTGTCTCACAGTGTGTTTGGCAAAGCCCGGATATAAGACAAGCAGTACAGGGTGGCGACCTGGGGCTGCTATGGCGAGGAACACAAGCCGAGCGGCTTAAACAACCCTGACTGTTCTCAGTGCCCAAGCTCTGCGTGAGCCTGCCCAAAATCCCAAGAGGCAGTTGGAGGAGAAGGGATTGCACCGTGGCCAGCCCACACAGAGCGTGATCTCTGGCTTTCTCTGTCTCGGTCTCTCCGGCAAATGCACACGTCCTATAGCAAGTCTGAAAACAGGCGGACAGTGAGAAGAAAGAGAAAAAACATGGCGGATAGGAAAGGAAGGAAGGGAAACGTTGGAGTCCAAGCTGGATGGAAGGGCATGTTACCTGCCTCTCATCTCTCCATGTGAGCCTCCCCACTGTAGTGTGGTTACAAGGACCAAAGATAAGGTCTGGGCAGGAAGGTCCCCAGGCACAAGGGGCCCAGAGACACATGCTTGCTGTGTGCGAGGCTCCATGCTCGCTGTGTGGGAAGATGCACACTCGCTGTGCGGGAGGCCACACGCTCACCAGGTGGGGGGATGCATGCTCGCCGTGTGGGAGCATGCGCACTCGCTGTGTGGGAGGATGCATGCTCGCTGTGCGGGAGGCTACATGCTCACCGGGTGGGAGGATGCATGCTTGCCGTGTGGGAGCACGCACACTCGCTGTGCAGGAGGCTACACACTCACCAGGTGGGAGGATGCATGTTCGCCGTGTGGGAGCATGCGCACTCGCTGTGTGGGAGGCTACATGCTCACCGGGTGGGAGGATGCATGCTCGCCGTGTGGGAGCATGCGCACTCGCTGTGTGGGAGGATGCATGCTCGCTGTGCGGGAGGACGCATGCTTGCCGGGTGGGAGGATGCATGCTCGCCGTGTGGGAGCACGCACACTCGCTGTGCAGGAGGCTACACACTCACCAGGTGGGAGGATGCATGCTCGCCGTGTGGGAGCATGCGCACTCGCTGTGTGGGAGGCTACCTGCTCACCGGGTGGGAGGATGCTGGCTCACTATGTTGCAGGATGTGTGGTCTCTGCATGGGAGGCTATTCGCTCACGGTGTCAGGGGATGCATGCTTGCTGTGTGGGACCATGCACACTCGCTTTGTGGGTACCCGCTCACCGGGTGGGAGGATGCATGCTGGCTGTGTGGGAGCATGCGCACTCGCTGTGCGGGAGGCTACACGCTCACCGGGTGAGAGGATGCAGGCTCACTATGCAGGATGCGTGGTCTCTGCATGGGAGGCTATTCGCTCATGGTCTCGGGATGCATGCTTGCTGTGTGAGAGCATGCGCACTCTCTGTGTCGGAGGTTGGAGGCTACACCATTGCCGCATCAGAGAGACTCACCTGGAGGAGGAGTTGGAGACAGAGACAGCACCGCGGCTGGACCGTGACTCCCATTTATTCCTAGGCCAGTGAGGACAGATTCCTGGACCGGGTACATAGGCGGGCTCCGCGCCACCCAGCGGCTCTCAGCTGACCTATCCTCTTATCTGTGCTTATGAAGTAGAGGACGCACGGGGCCAGAGTGGACGGTTGCACAAGACCTCATGAATATTGAGTGTTTTCGTGTCGTAAGGAAATTCAGTGCATCCTGAACAGTAAGCGCCTCTTGTATGCTGGGTACTACCTCCTTATCCACGCTCAACACGGCTAGAGTTTCATCGATCCCATTTATTTTATAAAAGGGCCGAATATTCTCAAAAAATACAACAAATGCACATCATACAATCCAAGAATATTGTACATTTATTTATTATTTAAATCTCTAATATTTTAATAGTTTTTTTTCTTAAAGGACTTATACAACATTTATTAACAATTTGCCCTCAAGTAACTTAAATCTTTTGTTGATACTCTAAATGGATCTATAAATCTTTAATAACCCTTTCACCAACAATCTTTCACCCTCCTCAAGCAATCATTATGGGTGAGTGTGAAGTTTAGATAAACGCAGGTACTCCACTTAGTAGCTGTGTGTTCCGATTGGTTGGTTCTGTTTTTTGCCATAAGTCAGATGCACTCCCTGGAGAGAGAGAGAGACAGAGACAGAGAGGGAAAGTTAGAAATCACCCTCCGGGAGAGATGGCCACACTGAAATCCCTTCTCCTCCATTCTTGTCTTGGGATTTTGGGCACGCATACACATGCGCTAGGCGTGTTTTTCAAGCCACCGGGTCTGAGACTTGAATGATGCAGTCAGTCGTGTGATTGTGTGCTAACCACCATGGTTAGCTGGTCCTTCTACTCAATAGCCATGCAATCTTGGATTTCCAAGCTCCGAGAAGGTCAGTTTCCTCACTTACCAAATAAGAATAAGAATTTCTAAACCACCTGCTGCTAAGTTGAATCAGGAGATCTGCTGTGTGGAGACAGCCTATGCATTGCACCGTGACTAACACCACTCCTGGCCTCTACCCACTGAGACCAGGAGCCAAAGCTTCTACCCTCACTTGAAGAAAATCAAATAAGAATTGTACATAATATTATGTTGTCCCCATGACCTGGTGGTTACAGGAGCCAGATACCAATGACCAGCTGAGCAGTTCAAATCCCAGCCCTGGTAGCTTGAAAAACATACCAGACACATTTGCATGTGTGCCCCAGATCTCAACAGGGTGGAGAAATGGAGGATGGAGTGTGACCATGCTCCATTGGGGGTGGGTACCTTTTCCTCTCTCTCTTTCTCTCTGCATCTCTCTCTGGCAAGCACGCACACCTGTGGTCATTTTTTTTTTTTTTAAAGAAAGCAAGCAAGCAAATAAAATTACTCCTCTTCTTTAACTTGACAGTATATCATCTTGTGGTCAGAAAGGTATAAGCCTCAGAGCAAGAACCAACATGCTGAAGATGATAGAGTGGAAAATGGAAAACACCGGAGCCCTTAATGACACCACTGAGAAGAACACACAGCGCATTCCTGGAGGTAGGCCTGAGTCACACACTTGGCATTTTTGTTTCGGTTTGGTTTCTCAGACCCCACATTACCTGCTAACTGCCACACATAGCCTTACGTGCCTTCTTTTTAACAGGTGAAAAAAATTTTAAATAAAAAAAGTTAAGCCAATTACAAAATGACTGTGAGAACGCCATGCTCTTTTCCCTTTTTCCCCCATAATATTATTTAGCAAATAATTCTATATCAAGACTTCAGTTCTTTTTTTATTTTTTAGAGAGAGATTTTTGCTATAGGGTACATGTGCTTGCCAGAGAGACAAAGAGATAGAGAGAGACAGAGCGCAAGTAATCATCCCTCCCAGTAGGGATGGCCATGCCGCAATCCCTTCTCCTCCATTCTCCTCTCGGGATTTTGGGCACGCACGCACACGACTGATGTGAGTTTCAAGATTCTGAGTCTGGGATTCAAATCCAGTAGGCCATGTGGGAGTCTAGTGACTTAACCATTACACCATCGCTGGTCCTAAGACATCAGTTCTTAGAAAGTCAAAAGGTTAGGGGGACCAGCAGATGGTGTAATGGCTATGTCGCTGGACTTCCATTAGTTGATCACGGTTAGAGTCCCAGACCTGGGGGCTTAAACTCACGCCGGGCGCGTGTGCGTGCGTGCCCAACATCCCAAGAGGAGAATGGAGGAGAAGGGATTGCGGCGTGACCATCCCCCCGGAGGGTGATTTCTCGCTTTCTCTCTCTCTGTCTCTCTGTCTCTCTGGCGAGTGCATGTGCCCTATAGCAAAAACCTCTCCAAAAAAAATAAAGTTAATTTAAAGATAAAGTAAATAAAAGGTTGGGTGGCAACTTCATTACTGACGGAGCAGTGAGGAGTGAGACAGGGCGCGCCAGAGGCTCACCAGCTGCCCCACGGTTGTGTCCTCAGCAGGACACACGACACTGGCTGTAGGTGCGAACGCGTTCCTCTTGCCTCCAAACCCCCTCGGGTCTTCCCGTGTGGTACCCCCCAGGGATACAGCCACGGTCCCGGCCGGTAGCCAGCCTGTCTGTGCCATTTTACGACCAGGGCAACTCTAGCCTCTCTAGTCACATTACTTCTGCATTTTTCCCCCTTCCCTCGGAGCCCTAAAGGATCCTTTACCTTAAACATACATTAATACAAGACATTGCTGGGGGCTAGATGGGTGGTGCAGTGGTAAAACACTGCACTCTGCAAGACTGACGCTCACGGGAAGGTTCCAGGTTCTCGTCTAGAGACCTCCTTCAGTGCGCCGGGCACACATGCGGCCATAGCCACTGGTTTAGGCCTAGCTGGGGTGTGGTAGCACTGAGACCGTGTTGATGGTGCTGTCTACCTTCATCACTCGTGGAAGAAAATAAACTTACGCACACATACATGTATGTAAGGGGTAAAGTAAGAGAATTGTCCACGTATAAGTCTACTTAGCTGTGCCTCCCTTGTAATATAAGCTGGAATACACTAGGGACTCAATAGTGTCGTTGTACCCGTGGGTAAATGGCAGCTATAAACAGGAATCAACTTTCTTCGCTGTTGTCCATTATACAGTCCATTATACAGCTGGGACAAAGTACATAGGAAATTACAATAAGGACTTCGAGGGTTTTTGGCAGGGGCCTGCCCAGGATGCTGTGGGAGAGTAGAAGAGAGACTTCTTAAACTGGAGCAGAGGAAAGGCACGCTCACAGGGACGGGGACCTGGGGTCGTCTACTGCGGCTGAAGTGAAGAGCTGACCTCAGACTGTGGCACCGCCCTCTCCTCCCAACATTTCCCAGAAGTGCTTTCCTGGCTTAGAGGTTGTGACTTTCAAGCCTGAAGTAGGCAATTATCTCTGGAAGCAAAACGGGAATGGGGATGAGCTGGAAAGAAGGCAGAGGGGTAACAACAACCCAAGAGCAGGCTGAAAATTGGCTAAACCCACCAGGTAAAGAAAATGTAAGGGCAGGACCAGCAGGTAGCGTAATGGCTATGTCACTGGACTCCCACGTAGTTGAAAGCGGTTCGAGTCCCAGACCCGGGGGCTTAAAACTCACACCGGGGGAACAACAGTTAGCGTAATGGCTATGTTGCTGGACTCCCACGTAGTCGCCCACGGTTCGCGTCCCAGACCCGGTGGCTTAAAACTCACGCCGGGTGCGTGTGCGTGCATGCCCAAGATCCTGAGAGGAGAATGGAGGAGAAAAGATTGTGGTGTGGCGATCCCCCCAGGGGGTGATTTCTTGCTTTCTGTCTCTGTCTCTCTGTCTGTCTGGCGAGCGCATGCGCCCTATAGCAAAAACTCCTAAAAAAAAATATGTAAGGGCATAAAAGAATAAAAAGTATGGAGCTGTTGGTCACATGAGGAAAAGCAAACAGACACCCTGAAACAGACGCAACTTACTGGAAGCACATTAAGGAGCCTGGGTCCGGCGAGTGGCATGGTGGTTGGGGCATTGGACGCCCATGTGCTTGACCGTGGTTCAGGTAGTGGACCTAGTGCCTTGCTTTCTAAATTTACCTCTCTTTTTCTCCTTGGTCAAAATAAAATAATAATAATAAATACAATTAAATACAATAATTAATTTTTTTTTTTAATTTAAAAAAAAGGAGGAGCCTGTAGGGGCTGGCAGGTGATGTGATGATTGGAGCACTGGGCTCCCACATGGCTGACCACAGTTCAGTTCCTGGACCTATCAGTCTACTTTCTCACTTCTCCCTCTCTCTCTCCCGCTCTCTCTCTGGTCAAATTTTAAAAGTAACAATGATGAATAAAATTAAATTTTTTTAAAAAGAAGGCGGTACTCATGACAATCCTAGACTTGAATTCTTGTAGTGTTTTTATTTTCTTTTTTTAAAAAGAATTATTCAGTTTTATTTGCTCTCATTATTATTATTCTGTAATTTGCCCAGACAGAGACAGAGAGAGAGAGAAAGGGAAGTGAGAAAGCAAATCTCCAGGTATAGGACTCGAACCACAGCCGGCCATGTGGGAGCCCAGCACCCTAACCACCATGCCATCTGCTGGTTCCACTATTTTCTTTATTGAAAATTACCCTCTTGGTAGAATTGGCCTGAATTAATTCCTGTTCTTTTTTTTTTAATTAATTATTTACGCATTTAATTTTGTTTGTTGTTAGTATTTATTTTTTAAATTGACCAGAGAGAGAGAAAGGGAAAGTGAGAAAACAAACTACCAGGTCTGGGACTCGAACCACTGTTGGCCATGTAGGAGTCCAGTGCCTTAACCACCACCTACCTGCCAGCCCCTGAATTTCTGTTCTTCACATTTCAAAGAATCTAGTAACAAAAACAGCCCCTTCAATGTCGTTCTCCCCATTTCCGAAGAGCAGAATTCTCTTATTTTTTCACAACCATGCTGTTTTCATTTCTGCCTCTCTTCCATTTTTTATGTCATTTACCTTACATGGAGTTCCTTTCTCACTCTCCGGCTAGTCATTAAGCTGACATTTTCAGCCTGAACAACGCAGCAGACACTGCTCAATGGGGGTGCAGGAATGACTCATCCTTGTTTCTTGCCTTCAAGGTTGGAAACAACTTAAATATCCAACCACAGAGACATGGTTAAAGTAATTATGGTAAGCAGTCAGGTAGAGAATGAAGGATTTACACTTTGTAGTTAAATCAGATTAGGTTACAGTGCTAGCTCAGGCACTTTCTAAACTTATGAGGGGGTTCTTCAAAAATCCGTGGGAAGTATATTATGAAAAAAAAAAACTGCGTGGATTTCAGTTTTTATTTTTTGCACCAAAATAGACTCATACTTTGTCTTAGTCCACTTTTTGCTTTGCTAGCAGAAATATCTAACATTGGGTGGCTAATAAAGAAATAGGGATGGGGGCCAGCAGGTGGCATAGAGGTTAAGGCAGCTGGATCCCACTTGGCTGACACCACTGTTCAAGGCCTGGACCCATCGGCTTGAAAATCACACTAGGCGTGTGTGTGAGCGTGCTCAAAAATCCTGAGAGGAGAAGGGATTGTGGCATGGCCAGTCCATGTCGGGGTGATTTCTCACTTTCCCTTGCTCTCTGTCTCTTTGTCTCTCTCTCTCTCTAGGGAGCGCACATACTCTATGGCAAAAAAAAAATAAATAAAATAAAAGGAAATAAGGACTTATTAACTCACAATTCTGATGGCTGAAAATTCTGAAGGCATAGGCCTGGCATCAGGCCAACCCGATGGCTGACAGCACAGAAGACGGCGGGTCCATGCAGACTGAGAAAGCTTTTGTCTGCTCTCGTGAGAAGAACCCTTTGTCCCGGGAACTAGAAACTCCCTGGGTCTCATGAGGCATCATTAATCTACTCAGGAGACCACGGCCTCCATAATGCAATCACCACAGCCCAGTCACCACCCCCGAGCCTCAGTTTCTTGATCTACAAAACGGGGGTAATAGACACACTTCCTTAAGGCCCAGTGGTGATGTAATGAGGAATCATATGAAAGTACTCAGTGTGCGGCCAGCGCACAGTAGGTGACCAACACATGCTGTCTGTTCTCAGTATGTTATACCAGCAAAATTAGAGCATGCATTAAATATGTGCATAAAATCTAGAAAGAAATTTATAAAGTGTAAGTGGTGATATTGTATCTGAGCGATATGACTGCAGGTGGTTTTTATTTCCTTCTTTATGCCTTTTATGCATTTTTTAATATTTTCTACATTGGCAGTGTGTACCTATCAAGCCAAAGACAACTGTAAAGCAAAAGTTAAAAGGAAAGGAGGAATTTTTGGTCTCACAAAGCTATTACTCTCATCGGTTTGAGGTCAGACCCTCCCAGCAGCAGAGCAGATGGAAATGACCACAGGCCCACGGACGCTGGGAAAGCGAGGGCCTTGTATGCTAGCACAGGTTTAAGTCGTCTGGAAGCGTTTACACTGGGCAGAGATCACAGAGGCGCGTCTTTCGGAGATGAGAGCAATCTGAGGGTAAAGCGGGTGAGAGCACAGCGGCAGAAGTTGTCTGAGCCAACGGGAAAGGCAGTGTCGGTAGTCTGTCAGCAGGACGTGTGGCCAGCCCGAGGGAGACTGCAAACCGGGGATCCTGGAAGAAGGTCTCAGGGCAGTCATTCGTGTCGTGGACCGGCCAGCTGGCTGCTCAGTCATCCCTGCTCCTCTCAGCTCGCTGGCTCCTAATGCGTACTTTTGAATGAACTCTATCTCCACGTACCTGCTTTTTTTCTTTTTGAGAGGTTTTTGCTATAGGGTGTGTGCACTCGCCAGACAGACAGAGAGAGACAGAGAGACAGAAAGCGAGAAATCACCCCCCAGGGGGGATGGCCACGCCGCAATCCCTTCTCCTCCTTGATCATGGACACGCATGCACACGCACCTGGCATGAGTTTAAGCCACCAGGTCCAGGACTTGAACCGTGGTTGTCTACATGGGAGTCCAGCAACATAGCCATTAAGCCAACTGCTGGTCCCTCCACATAACTTTACAGTAAGAAAAAAAGTATTATTTCAAACAATTGTTAAAGTTCTTTGAAACAAGTTATGTATTTTTTAGTTTTTTTTTCTGTTAAGGTCAAGTATTATACATTTTTAACGAATAAAGTTAAAATTAGATCCTAGTGTTGCTTGAATTATTGTAATATTTAAACTACAGGCTTAGGGCCAGCAGGTGGTTAGGCACTGGACTTTTTTTTTTTTTTTTCTTGGAGAGGTTTTTGCTATAGGGCGTGTGCGCTTGCCAGAAAGACAGAGAGAGACAGAGAGACAGAAAGCGAGAAATCACCCCGCAGGGGGGATCATTACGCCGCAATCCCTTCTCCATTCTCCTCTCAGGATCTTGGGCATGCATGCACACGTGCCCGGCGTGAGTTTTAAGCCACTGGGTCCAGGACGCGAACTGTGGTCAACTACATGGGAGTCCAGCGACATAGCCATTACGCTAACTGCTGGTCCCTTGCACTGGACTTTCATATGGCACTTTGAGCCCGGGACCCAGTGGCTTAAAAATCATGCTGGGCACTTGTGCGTGCATATCCAACATTTCTTTCCTTTTTTTTTGGAGAGGTTTTTGCAATAGAGCGCGTGCGCTCGCCAGAAAAACAGAGACCAAGAGAGAGAAAGTGAGAAATCAGCTCCCAGGGGGGATGGCCACAGCGCAATCCCTTCTCCTTCACTCTCTCTCTTTCTGGCGAGCACACGCGCCCTATATAGCAAAAATCTCTTAAAATTAAATAAATAAATAAATAAACAAACAAACCTTAAAAAAACAAATAAAAATAAATAAATAAAACCTACAGACTTAAATATTTCAATCCTATTTCACAGTCTAACAAATATTAGAACATCATGAAGGGCACTAAATTAACCCTTAGAAAATAAAATACACTGACGTGCTTAGATATAAAGGCCTGCTTTTTTTTTTTTTTTTGAGAGGTTTTTGCTATAGGTCACGTGCGCTCGCCAGACAGAGAGAGACAAAGAGACAGAAAGCGAGAAATCACCCCTCAGGGGTGATGGTCATGCTGCAATCCCTTCTCCTCCATTCTCCTCTCAGGATCTTGGGCACGCACGCACACGTGCCTGGCCTGAGTTTTAAGCACCGGGTCCGGGACACGAACTGCGGTCGACTATGTGGGAGTCCAGCGACATAACCATTACACTAACTGCTGGTTCCCTTTTTAAAAAAAAATTTTTTTTTAATAAAGGCCTGCTTTAAATAAACGGTTTTAAGTGTAAATTTCCAGAGATTATGGGGGCGATGTATATATGTGTGTCCACTGGAGAATTATCACCATAGCAACAGAATTTGAGTAAAATAAGATCAGTGTTATGAATCCTGCAAGTAAAAAGTTAGGTGAAAAGCACTGCTCGTCCCTTGGGCGGATGACATAACTCACACCATGCCTGTATAGAAGAGTTATCTTTCCTGCCTGTTCAACATTAAATTACGGACAGAGAGACACAAAGACACAGCCTCAGAAAATGTGGGATATCTAAGACAGTCATGAATCTTCCCATTCATGGAAATTAAAGAAACCAGATACGGATTATAAATATACTGGCTTTTCCTATTATTCTGAAATAATACAGGAAGCTTCCTTAAAGCTCTATACTTTAAATAACTGACTGCTAATGGTATTTTTCGATAGGATAACTGTTATGGGAAATGAATATGCACACGAGCAGCAGCAGAAAGCGAGGCGGTCAGCACGGCCTTAGCCTGGCTCTTCCTTCCACGCAGACAGAAGCGCCCGCAGAGAGTGGTGGACACGGCGCATGTGCTGGTGCTGCCCACGTTTATGACTCCTGAGGAAGTATTTTGAGAACCAGCAGATGGTGCAATGGTTACGTCGCTGGACTCCCACATGGCCGACTGTGGGTTCCAGTCCCAGACCTTGAAACACACTGGGTGCGTGTGTGCCCAAGATCCCGAGAGGAGAATGGAGAAGAGATTGCGGCACGGCCATTCCCCCTGGAGGGTGATTTCCCACTTTCTGTCTCTGTCTCTCTCTGACTCCCGGTCAAGAACTCATGCTCTATAGCTAAAAATCCTTCAAAAAACAATTTTTTTTTCTCTGCCCCTACCCCCAGTGATTTTTCAGATCTTTGCCTAAATGTCAACTCCCAAAGTATTCTCTTACAATCCAACACTAGATCTGTTCTAAGAAAGGGGCTTTCAACCCTTTTGACCTTGACCCACAGTGAGAAATGTATTTCATGTCATAATCTGCTGCTCATACATACAAATATTCATTCCTTTTTTAGGGGAGGGGGCAGTGTGCCATAGATTGCATGTGCTCACCAGAGAGAGACAGAGAGAGGCAGTGTGAGGGAAAGTGAGAAATCACCCCCCTGGGGGATGGCCACACCACCATCCCTTCTCCTCCACTCTCCTCCTGAGCATGCATGCACGTGCACCCAGCATGAGTTTCAAGCTGCCACTGCCAGTTCTGGGACTCGAACTGCTATTGACCATGTGGTAGTATAATGTCTTAACCAATATGCCACCTGCTGACCCCTATTCAGTCTTAATATTTTTGTTAACTTAGTAATTGTGGTTTTTCGGTACATGAATACAATGGGTTATGACTCTATCAGGATAATTACTGAGCTCAGCACCTCGATCACTCGTAGCACTGTCACAGTGTGTTATTGTGAGCTGCATTCTCCCTCTCCGTATTTTGCAGCACCAGTTTCTTGTATTCATCTGCAATTTTGTTTATGTTAATAATCTCCCTCTATTCTACACCCCCATCCTTCCCAGAATGCAGTAGCGTCTACTTCTCTCTCTCCTCTATGTTAATTTTTTTCAGATTTCAAAATATGAGGGAAAATATGTGGTCGAACATTCATTCTTTTTCTTTTTCAATATTCCATAGGGCATGTGCTCTCACTGGACTCCCACATGGCTGACCATGGTTCAAGTCCCAGACCTTGCTCTCTCACTCTCCCTCTCTCTTTCCCCTTCTCTCTCTCTTGCTCTGTCCCTCTCAAGTCAAATTAAAACAAATAAATAAGTAAAGCTGATTAAAATAATTCTTTTAAAAAAAAAATCTCACACCAGGTGCGTGTGCATGCGTTCCCAAAATCCCAAGACGAGAATGGAGGAGAAGGGACTGTGGTGTGGCCATCCCCCCTAGGTGGGGGGAGATTTCTAGCTTCCTGTCTCTCTGTCTCTCCAGCAAGTGCATACACTCTATAGCAAAACTCTCTCTTTAAAAAAAAAATCAAAAATCTTAAAAAAAAAAAAAAAAAAAGCAGAGCTTTTCTGTTCATTAGTTGTTTCTGGCCACTACAACTCCAAAACCTCTGTACAGCCACCAACCAGGAGTAGCCCAGAAGGTGACGATGGTGCAGAGACACCATCAATGCATGCAAGTTGACTTGAATGGTAATTGAGTCATTGTAAGCCTCATTCTTCCCCCCAGCAGAAAAGTTCAACAGTGAGTTCTTGTTTGATCTTACTATAAGGGGATACCACCGGAAATGCTCTCAGGCTTAACCAGGGACCCAGCAGTCTTTGGGATCATCTACATTTAAGAGGGCCTTTGATCTCTGAGCATCCTTAGCCTGCACCCTAAGGTTCTAACAAAGGTACTGAATGTGGCTACGTACTTTATTCCTTTGGTTTTTTTGTCACCCATCTTCAAGGTAGAAGCTAACGAGTTAGACTGGACCATCCAAGTGGTCAGACACGAATCTCAGATTTTACCATTCTTGTAGAAGAGAGTCTGCAGCAGTGAACTGCGTCACCTGAACCTGAGCTGCCAGCACAGACACTTCCTGAAAGACAGTGCACCTGAACCTGAACTGTCAGCACAGACACTTCCTGAAAGGGGGTCAGGCCTGTTTCTCCTGAGCATCCTAGGAGAGGGATGCCCAGAGCGAGATATGTCTCTGAGTTCTACTTACCTTTGAAAGCAATGTCCTAATACATGCTAGGTCATCCTCTCTGCTGTTGGGGAAGGGGCAGGCAGGAACCCTCCTGTGAGTTAGGCAGCAGAGCAGAGGAAGTCGGCAGGTGGGAAAGACCGGGGCTGACAGAGCAGTCCCCCGTGTCACCATCTCCAGACTGTAAAGTCAGCTCCTCCATTCATCTCATAATACTTCCTAAAATTCAGGAACTATTTATTCACTGAAGTATTTAGATTGCTTGTTCTGGTTGATCAAGTCATTTAATTCATCTGCTATTTATGTAGCATTGGTTTCAAAAAACAAACTCACTCTAAAAGAAAGGGGTTAAGCACGTGTGGGTTTAGAATGGGGACTGTGCGTCTGTCACAGGGTCACAGTTCCTACTTCCCTCTGTGCTTTGTTGATTATCTGCACACGACCTGGACTTGTTACAGGGCTATGCTGGGAGCTGGAAACATGGCAGTGAGGAAGGCAGCCCAATTCCTCTTCCCCTCATGGGACCCACACTGTGGCAGGGAGTAAACACACACACACACACACTGCCACGATTTGCTACCAAACAAATGTAAACGCACAATGACAATCCACCAAGGCCGTGGATTTTAGAGTGTGCGTCGTCATCCTTGAGCGACTCGTGAACTCAATCCATGGTTTAAGACCAGTTTTGTTTGTTTGTTTAGTTGCCAGAGGGTCCAGTCATGCCACGATCCCTTCTCTTCTAATTCTCCATCCTGTCATGATTTGGAGCATATATACACATATGCCTGGTATGTTTCACTAGCTGCCGGGGCCAGGATTCAAACTGCTATCACCCATGCAGCATCCAGCTCCCTTCACCACTAGGCTATGGAACTGGCCCAAGACCAGTATTTTTAACAAACAAACAAAAATAACAGAAAATGCCAGCATAAATCACACATAGTAAGAATAAATATTCTGGGCCAGTAGGTGGTGTGGTGGTGAAGGTGCTGGACTCCTATTTGGCTAACTGCAGTTCGAGTCCCAGATCTGGCAGCTTGCTTTCTCATTTTCCCTCTTTCTCTCTGTCTTTCTCTAGTGAGCACACATGCCCTATAGCAAATTAAATAACAATAATAATGCATAAGATTAAATAATCCTTAAAAAAAGAAGAAATGTTATTTAGTGAAATACTTATTTCAGCTTATAGTTTGAGAGGATAAACAGATAAAGTCCAGGTCCTCATGAAGTGTGCTGTCTAGAGGAAAAGCAGACAACAGACTAGGTGGGAAGGCAGTTATAGTATGCAGTACTGAGACCACATTTAATATACTTAAACCTTTACTTGATTCAGAAGTGTCAAGGCTCTTGCCCTATCTTGATCATTATTACACATTCTATTATAATTATAATACTCTATAGCTATAAAATGTGTAGAAAACTGAATTGAATGCTATGAATCGCCTTATTCTCTCTTATATCAAAAGCTGAAAAAATAGTTCCTTGGATTATCTGATAGTTTGAGATATAAATAAGTGTTTTTTTAATAAGTCAATTCTCCTGACTGCAAGAAGTTTGAACCGTGGTTGACTTTGTGGAAATCCAGTGCCTTAACAACCAGGCCACCTGCTGGGGCTGGTTCATTATTTTAACAAACATAGCCACATAAACATTAAAATGTGAAATAAGCAACTGATTTGTACATATATATATACAAAATGTTTATATATTAATTTTATATATGTATAAATACATATTATATATAGTAATAATATATGTGTGTATACACACACAGGCACACACCCACACCCACACACACATATATATAAGTTGTTAGCTGTGCCCAGATGAGCCTTTATATCTCATAGTATCATAAAGCAAGGAAATGTTAAAACCAAACAACCAACAGACAAAGAACAGCGACGCCGCTGTGCCCAACAATCTTAGAGCCAACTGAAAGAACTCCCAGTGAGTAAGGCTGGGGCATTTTGAGCCACAAAATGAACAGTATTTGGTTATAGAATAAAACCATACTGGCAGGTTCAAACACACGTTTGTATGAATAGATAAGCGGGGGGGAAGAGACGCATCTGTGTGAGAGAATCCCAGGTACCTGACGGAGATCCTCCAGCCTCCAGGAGGAGGGGCTTCTCCTCCACCTCCACTCTGTCAGGTCAGTGAGGTCCCTGCACTGCGGCTTTTCCTGAAGAATGCAGTGTAAGAAGGAGGGTCTGATGATTTGGATGATGGTCTGTCTCCCAAAGGTTCGTGGTTTCCAATTTGGACTTCTAGCAGTTCACAGGCTGGGCCTGATACATTGTAGATGTGTAAGTGTGGATGTAACTCTCCATAGCGTGCCAGGGGGGACCTTTGGGTGTGACAACGCCATTATGGAGGGCCCTGATGATCGCCGTCAGTGAATCTATTAATACAATCAGAGGGGACAGACCAGAAGACAATGGGTAGAGACCGCGCTCCGCCCCGCTGCAGACGCCCTCCACCACGGCGTAGCCTCACCAGAACTGGAGCCTGCATGTGGGACGCCCAAACTGTGAGCTGAATAAACGTCTATCGCTTCCTAAATCACCTCATCTCAGCTATTTGTTAGCAATGCAGTAAGGAGAAAAAAAGTAACCTTTTAGGAAAAGAATCTGAGGTGCTCAAGGTCAACATAAACAGTGATAAGTCAGGTGATAAATCTAACCTTGGTGGGGACCAGCAGGCAGTGTAATGGCTATGTTGCTGAACTCCCACGTAGTCCACTGCAGTGTAAGTACCAGACCTGGAGGCTTGACACTCAGACCAGGCGCGTGCGCATGCGTGCCCAAGATCCCAAGAGGAGAATGGAGGACAAGGGACTGTGCCGTGGCCACACGACTATCCCTTCTCCTTCATTCTATTCATTCTCTTCTGGGATTTTGGGCTTGCTCAGGCA